GTCGTGCCTTGAACACTTACACCTCGTTCGCACTTTGCGGACAAGTGCGATCACAAGGAGAGAGCGATGACTCTATTAACCGACTAGCAACGAGGGCGGGTTGTAAGTCTTGTTCTCTATGAATAGTTTGTCTGGACTGTGCTGATGGTTTGTTCTTGTAGTGCTCCGGAATGTGTGGTCGTACCAAAAATAAATGTTGTTGTGTTAGAGCGTTCGTGTCATATCATCATTCTACTTGCTCTCTTGATATTGTAACTTGTGGGGTGAACACCTTTACGCTCATGTTGAGCGCAGGCTCACTGCGCATGCGCGCGGATCTAAACCATTCGGTGTTTAGCGAATGAAATTGCAGGACTTTGCATTTGAACTTACAAGAAGGGTTTCTCGGACCGTTCCGCAGTCTATCAGTTGCAGATTTGTCACTGCGCGCATCTGTCACAGTCGTTTGACTGACAGATCTCAATTGTTGGCGGTGTTTAGAGGGGAATATTCATCCTAGACGGAATCTTATTCATAGCTGGTAAAAGACCTACTCATGAAGAACTTCTCTTCCTACGGTGGTGTACCTCCAAAAGCGTAGTCGACATTGTGATGTCTCCATAGGAAGTGAAAACAACGTTTTTTGAAATTGGTACTGCAATTGTGGCAAACTGCGGGAGGGCTACAAATGGAGACTTGGCGTGTTCACACTCAGTACATTTCTGTGACACGCAGCTCGCAGTGAACGAACTCTGAATAGAAGTCCGTGGCCCAGGTACTGATGCTTGTGGGCAAGAATCATCGTGCTTGTTACTCTGACGGTTCCTTGTCTATAATATCAGTGAGTCGCCACTAGTCGACCTAGCTTATGATATGCTGACCCAAGCCCCTCTCATTAGTCCGATTCCATGGTCGAGATTCACCGCACCCAAAGCGAGAGCAGTGGTTCATTATCCCCTTCTACAGAAGAGGAGAGTAAATACCGCCTTCTCTATAGTAAATCCAAGGTCTACGTTAATCCGACCGCATACGCTAGAGATAACATTCCGGGTTTCGTAGCTCTTGTCAAGCGTGTGAGTAGCTAGGTCTTATCTCGCATTTCTTGCTCATGCATTTTGCCATCTAGGAGGCTGTCAATCCTATCTATTTGCTTGCATGGATTCCAGAGACATTGCTTTGCGAGAAGGGAACCGACGAGTGGAACAAGTTTGTGAAGATTGAGGAGAGGGCCACACTGGATGAAGAGGATGAAGGTCTGCAGCTTTTTTCTCTGTTTGAACCCGGGAAATCTTACACTATCCAAAGATGCGGTTCTGATCGACCTTCCTACACAAAGACCAGAGTCCTATGCATTCTCGGTTCCTTTGACTTCGATATATTCTCTTCTTGTCCAACCACCTACCCTTTCATCATGGTGTACGTTCTCATGTTATCTTTTTACATTGACAGGTCTAAATCAATCACTACTAGATGGTACCATCGGTATAAACCTCATAAACAGTTCCACACTCCCAACTCTGCACTTCCATGATGACGAGTCACTTTCAATGACACTACCGTCTCGACATACTAGCCGCAATTCCACTAGTGCATACCCTCCTTCCACATCATCATCATCATCTTCTCGACCCCCAAACTCATGGGGAGGCGAGGATTTGCTCTCTCGTCTGCGATCTTATGCCCACCTACTCCGCTCCACATTACAGCCTTCCTTGTTCATCGTCGACCCATCTAAAGCCGACATCGACGCGCACACTACTCAGATATTCGACGATGACGCTGTGGACGATATTCTTGCGCAGTCGTCGTATGCTTCGTCGCATTCACCTGTACCTGCTCACAGGCGACCGCGCCCATTATCTGATGTTCCTGCAAATGCACCTTCTAACTCATACTCCCCTCGTTCATCCGTTTTGCATCGTTCTCTTTACCCACCCTCCATATCGACCACACAGTCCAGCTCACAAGCACGGATGGCGCTGCTGCAATCCTTTTCAAATATCACTAGAGCGACACGTCACGCTGCGCAAAACATTCTTTCTCATCCTCTTGCTAAGCCTATTGTCCCGCATCTTCCAGACCCTGTCAAGAGTCTAGTCAATGTCAACGGTGACTTGGAATGGGGTAGTTGGGTGGAGAAAGGGGGCGTTGGTGAGTTTGAGAGTGCGAGGGTGTATCTTGCACGCTGGGCTCGCATAGTTGCCGAAGAAGGTGATCGAGCGCGTAAACGAGAGGCTCAGGCACTACCTTCCTCCTCGAATGTGGTTGAGGAGATATCTCCGTTGGGTGTTTTCGAGCTTCTTCACTCCACAGTCAACCTTCCCTCCCCAAAAACCTCTCGAGACCCGGCACACCCAATAGACGAGGCACTTTGGGCGAAGTGGTTTGATAAAGATGGACGGCCGAAAGTCAGGCTTGAAGAGATGAGGCGCCAAGTTTTCAGGAGAGGCATCACTCCTTATGGGAACCTCAGGAAGAAAATGTGGCCCTTCATACTTGGTGTCCATGAATGGGACATCACTGGTAGTGAGAGGGAAGCGAAATGGGAGGAGAAGAGGTAAAGTTAATTTCACCACCAGATCCATGCCTTCTGATATGTCCTGTAGAAAGCGATACCGTGAGATCAAAGATGAGTGGTGTGGTGTGCCCGAGGTCTTTGACCGACCGGACATTCTTGAAGAACGTCACCGCATCGATGTAGATTGTCGCCGCACAGACCGCACTCAGCCACTCTTCTCCACTTCCTATGAGGATACCCCCGACAATGACCCAAATGGAAACCGCCGATACACGACGATCTCTCCTCAGATGTCGGATATTGGTGCACAATCTCCCAGTAATGAACATATCGATCGTCTCGCAGGCATTCTCCTCACATACAATTTCTACAACAAAGAACTTGGTGAGCACATTTGAAATACCATATTTTTATAGAGTATCGAATGGCAGAAAACAGGATATGTACAGGGCATGTCGGACCTTTGCGCTCCTTTATACGTTGTGATGGGTTCCGACGAGGAGCTGACCTTCTGGTGCTTTGTGGAGGTAATGAATCGTATGGTAAGTGCATCTGAAACTTGATGAAGATTCTGTCTCTGACATTCATCAAGATTCAAAATTTCCTTCGGGATCAGAGTGGAATGAAGAAGCAGCTTTCAACGCTCCAAGAGTTGATCTGTGTCATGGATCCTGATCTATATCGACATTTAGGTCACTAATTTCGTTTTCTATGCTTATAACTATCTGACTCTCATCTGCTGCAGAAAAAACTGACGGTCTCAATTTATTCTTCTGCTTCAGGTAAGTTTTCACTGAAACTTGCTGACAAGGCATCCTTGACGCTGTTTATCATAGATGGGTCCTCATCGCTTTCAAACGCGAATTCCCTTTTGACGATGTCTTGCGTCTATGGGAAGTGTTGTGGACAGACTACTACAGCAACGAATTTGTTCTCTTCGTTGCTTTAGCAGTCTTGGAGTCCCATCGGGATATGATCCTACGGTATCTTGTAGAGGTGCGTGTCTTGATTGCTTACCATGAGATTTCCTCTTTAATCATGTATTCGACCAGTTCGACGAGATCCTGAAGTATTGCAATGAGCTCAGCATGACCATTGAACTCGATTCTACTCTTGCTCAAGCAGAGGTCCTCTTCCTGTCATTTGCTCAGCTCGTCGCAGACATTGATAGAAGGCGAGCGGAGGAAGTCACTGATTCTACGAGTAGCGTGCTACGAAGACGAGGGACAGCTGCCTCTGAATCAGAGGGAAAGACGTTTCTGTCAAAGGTAGCCATGCCTACTCTGAGCAACAACCTCAGGGACTTGTTAAAGGCTGGGCGCTGAATTGGACGAGTGGGGTTTGATGGAACATTGACTTATCATGTAGTGTAGCCGTGCGGTATAACTATCACTGTAATGCACGTGTATAATACTGCTGACTCCTTGCTCGAATCTTGGTGTACGTCAGTATGGTAGTATTTTGTATACATACAATCCACTAGACAAAGGGCGAGCTTCGCCAGGCAGCAACCTTGTCCCACAGGTACTAATGTCGTATACTATCATTTGGAGAAAACATCAAAGATATACTAATTGTGCATCGTCAGCGGTATCGTTTGGAAAGTAGTGAGCCAGAGCAGCAATAGAGAAAAGTTGCAGAAAATACGCAATCAATTTGCGAACCTTTTATCAGATGAGATTGTGCCTGCATTAAAAAATCAAGAGTGATGAATGAGAATAACTTACAATGAATAAACAGTGAACAAGCTCGATGCATGAATAATATTTAAGTTCTCGGCATTGTGTTCTCGTCGAGTCATCCTCTCGATGCCCGTAAGTTATGGATGATAACTGGAAAACTTTCCGAGGAAAAGCTGAAGCCATCGCGAGGCATTCCTTTTCATGGCCAGACTATCACCTGGGCCAGGATCTATACACCGCAAAAATTTTGTCAGCAGGTTTCGAACCAACTCCAGGAGAAACAGATTTCGACTCCGTTGCGGTAACCACTTGGCTAAGACCAGTTAAACAGAGCTCCGAGGAAACCATCCATGACTGGCCGTCAAGGTGTGTTTCGATAGAAAAAAACAATTGTTCGGCAGGTTTCAAACCTGCGGAGTTCAAGAGGAACAGATTTTGATTCTGTTGCGGTAGTACCACTTGATTAAGACCAGCTGAAATGCACATCCGATGAAACCATCCATGAATGAATGTCAAAGTGTGTTTCGATAGGGGAATCTTTTGTCGTCAGATTTTTATTCTGTTGCGGTAAGCACCTGACCATACCAGTTAAGATGGACCTTCAAGAAAACCATCCACAAGTGATCTTCAAGGTGTATGCCAATAAAAAAAACCTTGTTATGGGCAGGTTTCGAACCTGCACTGGCATAGTACTAGTCCAAGAGATAGATTTAAATTCTGTCGCAATAATGGTTCACTTTGGCCAAGACGAAGTTGATATGGACCTCGGAGGAAACCATCCTAAGCGAGTCTTAAAGGCGTGTTCCGACGAAAAACAACGCGTTGTTCAACAAGTTTCGAACTTGCACAGTCCATGAGAAACAGATTTGAAGTCTGTTGTGATGACCACTTGACTAAGACAAGTTAGCTAAACCTCCGACGAAACCATCCGTGAGCGAATGCCAAGGTGTGTTCTGAGAGAGAAAAAAGCTTGTACATAGTCGGCAGGTTTCGAACCTGCGCAAGCCAGGAAACAGACTTCGATTCTGCGGTAATCACTTTTCCAGGACGCTTCGCAAGTCCTCCGAAGAGCTGTCTATTAAGGTGTGATAAGGGATTTGTCGGCAGGTTTTGAATCCGCATCACCCAGGATTTCTAATCTGTTCTGGTAGCAGTTGGCTATGACAAACCTATCCGTTAGTGAATGTTCAAGACGTGGTAAAGGTAAAAGATTGTTGAGCAGCCTTTGAACCGCAACCGCAACAGATTTCTGACCTGTCAAGCTTACCACTTAGCTAAGACTGGTCAAGGTCCAAGAGCATCGTGCATTGACAGTGGAATCACATAGGATTAGCAGTTACTTGTCAACGAAAAATGGAATAAGAGGACTGGTTTGATGAACACATAACATGCCAGGAATAAGCGAGTCCGATTCGATAAACGAATTGGTTGGCTGGCTCAGGCTGGCTCCGGCGCCTGATAATGTTGCTAATAGTTACTAATTCCCACAAAATCAAAAGATGGAAACATACAGCCACAGTTATGGACCTTGTAGTACAAGTTAACCATGCTGGTGATTGGAACCTCCAGTTTGGCCGTGAAGGTGCAGATGTGGTATTTCGTTGTCTCTCGTAATGCCACATGATGATTGTATGAGTACGAATGTTAGAAACAATCTCGCCCAAATTGAGCGATGCAAGCGTAATGAAGCAAATGCCTTAGACGCTTTAGGGTCGCCCAATGTCGAACCAGAATTAAGTATGTTGCCTGTGGCAGTTTAAAGTACGGACTGTTCTTTGACAATGGCCAAATTAATTTGAACAGCTACAAATGCAGCAAAAATAATTCAGCCATGGGATAAAGTGACCGGGACTTATGTGGCCTCTGCATTCTTTTGCTCCGTGAAGAATGACGGGCCATAATCAATGAGGATCTCGGTTCCAGGGTCAATGTTCATAACTGTGTAAGTTGTCAGCACTCCGCGTCTGTGATAGTAGGTAAACCATCTAACTCGCAAATATTCCTATACGATGTTCCCCACTCACAAGTCGCGCTACCGGATTTTTATTGATTAAAATGGACATCAAGAGATACAGACATTACATACCAAAAGCGCGACAATTACACTGCATTTTGCTGCTGGTATCACTAGTGCCTGAATGGTTGATGAACCTCGACACGTTGCCTGCACGCGAACTATCTAGGGATAGCGTTTTGTTGAGACCAAAGACATAACTTCGTCCAAGATGATCTGCAACCTCTCTATCGACTCAGTGAGTCACAGAAAATTTTATGGGTGAACGCTGCTCACCCGCGGCTGTCAAATGTCATTTCATAGATAAGCTCTCCAACGTACTCCACGATCAGATCACCCTGCTTGGCTGGCTCGAGGAGGAATACACCTACGCCCCAACGACTTGCCTTCACCTCCAGTTTCTATAATCGTTGATATAGAGTTATTCATGCGATCTGAGGCGTCAAATGTATATATTAACCTTGAAATGACCTTGTTGAATCTGGGAGTTTCCGCAGGTACTCCTTTCAGGGTCTTCAACTTAGAGTTAGACACATCCAACCCTTGCTAAACGCTACGCAACATACCTCTGTCAAGTGCAAGATGTTAAAGAACGAATCGCGACACAAAAGATAACCGGTATCACGCACCGACATCCGCATTTTACACAAAGCTCTGGATCACACTCGCGTCGAGCTTCGACGCAAGAGCAACCCCTGACCCTCACACAGTTCATTCCGTCGCGTGCTTTTGTACAACGACAACCTTTCCATCTCCGAGCACCTGGTGAAGAGTGGCATTAAGGCCTCGTGCTAGTGACAACACAGACATAAACATACATTTGGCGGGACAATGGCAATTCCGCTGGCAATGAGACTTGTTCTTAAAACATAAACAGTTAGATGAAACATCACATGGCCCAGGGTGATGACAAGGTTCGTTCCTGTGTGAAGCATCCAGTATAGCATCCATTATTCATACAACAAGGGTACACACGGTGTGAACTTGACGGGGTCAATATCTATCTCGTGTGGAGCGTCGGTCAAGTAATACGTGTCCACATGTATTCGTCCCTACCTTGAAATTCCAGAGATCGCGACTTCCCTTTGTGTTCCCCATTCGGGCGCTCGGTTTGAAGCTCATCGAAATCTGGATATAGTAATCTGCGATAATATAGAACCTGGACCACAGTCAGACCAAAGAAAGCTCGTCGTTTTCATGTTGACGAACCTCATGGCAAGGTTTAAAACATAATTCAGCATGGTCACAAGGTATCATATCTGGCTCGATATTTAAGATACTCTTAAACGAATCGATGTCATCTTCACTCCAGCAAGGGAGTACCTCGACTGTCCTGCTCTGCAAGAAGCAGCCAGCTTCGCAGGGGTGTTCTACACGTTTCAGTAGCTCTGACAGCCGGATAGTTTGCTTACGCGGTGGCGGCACGGGGTTCAGTTCAACTGCAAATTATATTGTTTGGACAGTATAAAAGGAAATGCAGGAAGCCATACCATGAACAGGGCACAGGGGCTCAATACAGTTGAGGTTAGGACAAAACAATGAATGCGTGCGCTCAAGGCGAAGTTGAAGAATACTGTGAGACAGCAACGAAGAAGGAAAGCTGTAAGAACAAGGGATGGTGGTCCCGTTCCATTTGAGTGGGTCTCTGTACATTTATTCAAAGTTGGATGCGAGCCCGAAAAATGATCGAAAACCCCATACCGACGACGACTCAGGGTAAACAGTCCAGTTTTCCCTGGAGTTGAGAAAAGCTTGAAGGGAAGGATTCCCGTGCTATCTATGTCCTCATAAAGTAGACTGTGAACCGTATGGAGGCGATAGGCTGCCTCCAGAGAAATAACTTCTACTATTGACAATGATAATGCTTTATCACATCCAGTGAATGATAGGTACTCACAATCTGGATCATAATCATCCTGCCACGCAAAGGAGCCGTAACACAGCGTATGATCCACGTGGTCGAAGGTTGGATCATCCGCATATGGGATGAAGGGCATCATATCGTCATCGTCTCCCCTAAAGATATTTCTTGAGATGGGAGTGCAATACTCATAGGATCTGTGTGGCTCAAGAAGCTCGACATGTACTACTTGAAGAGGTATCGTGGAAGTTGATCTTGAAGTTCCATCTTCAGAGTAAGAGGTCACTGCTACCATTCTTTTCGTGTCCTCGTCTGGATCTGAACCCCCACTAGCCTTACCGACGACATGGAGAGGTGCGCTATCGCCATCTGGTAAGAGAACACGTGAACTTTGTGTGACATGGGACAGAGAGCGGATGAAATGATCGCAGTATTTGAGTTTCCAGCCACTGAATTCGGCCACAACAGCTGCAAAAACTGTTTGCACCAGCTTATGAATCAGTGGATCATCACTTGGCTGCAACGTTTGCTCGTTCGTTTGCACAATTGAAGCGAACGACATTTGAGCACTTTGCTTATGTGTGGTCAAGGGTTTCGAACATGCATGGGATGAACTTTTAATTGTCAATGTCACAACATTCATGAATTGTGACACACGCGTCTTTGTGACCGCCACTGACAGCTCCCCTAACACAACGCTTAGAGCTAGCTCAGAGGCCCATCATGTCCAGCGCCAACATGACAATTTTTCGCGCCTACGCGCAAAAGTCTAATCCTGCTAGTCTGCCTCCATCAGTTCTTCTCTCACATTCCGAGACGTGTTTGACGGTTTTTGACGGTTTTCCGAAGTCAATCTTCCATTTTCTCGTCATACCTCGTGTCAGGCCACCCTTCAATGTGTACCAACTCGCTAATCTACGTTCATTGCTCAAATGCGAGAAAAAAAATGCCAAAGAACTCTTCACAGATCTAAACCGAGAAGCGAACGATATCAAGATAATGATTGAAAGTGAGATGCTCAAGAAGTACGGCTTCAAGTGGGAAATATGGATGGGCTTCCACGCAGTACCTAGCATGGAGTAAGTCTCGATTGGTTGATCTTCTGACGTACTCATGTGTATATGTATTTCTAGACACCTTCACCTCCACGTACTTTCTGCTGACCTATGTTCTCCGAGAATGAAGTTAAAGAAGCACTACAACTCCTTTCATCCAAAGCTCGGCTTTTTTATCCATTTGAGTGATGTTCTCTCTTGGTTCGATGCCGACTCATCGTATTATAAAACGGTGAGTTGTTTGTGCTTCGTTTCCGTGCCTTCTCCACTGCGCTGACTGTTACCATGACTATAGATCTCTCAGCTCAAGAAGGGCGAGTATGAGCCTTTACTTAAGGAAGATCTTTCTTGCTGGAAATGCGATCGTGACTTTTCGAACATGCCTAAATTGAAGTCACACTTGCAAGAGGAATTCGACACACTGTCCGATCAAGAAAAGGCCAAGGCGGAAAGAAAGAGGAAACGTGCCGATAATCTTGCACAAACATCTTCCCCCCAAACGTCATTAAATGATGACGATTCGCCGCCGGATAAATTGGCCCGTGAGAATGAGGAGGAGCAAGGACCCCATAGTGATATCTGAATTCACACTTGTGTGCGCCTTCTAGTGAGCTTGCTTTGGCTATTGATTCGGAAATTGCTCGTACCAGATGTTTCCGTAAATCCAATTCTACGATTTTTGACTTTCGCGCGAGACACCACGTTAGACGCTGTGCTATATGATTTCGGTTTCACCGATGAAATCTATTTTTTGCGACTCCGGTCCGTCGAGGGTTGTTAGTGTCATGGGGTCCGCGGGCGCCCCGCCTTCCTATAGATATATAAACTGGCTGCAAGAAAAACAAGTCTACATCAGCTTTGACAGGAACTATGTCACTTTTCACACTTCGCTGGGGCATCATCTCTACGGGTTGGATCGCGGAACAAGTTGTTTCGGTGAGGAAATACAACTCCGCATCATGATTGAGTAAG